GGATGGCGTGTGAATAAAGTAAATACCTCTAAAGATCCCGGAGAGGTAAACTAGACAAAGCTATAGTGACCTGCTCAAGATTACAAAGTGCACCCAAGATCAAGGCTAAGTGATGATTTTTTAAAAACCTGACCTCAAAGGTCCATTTGGAACACAATCACCACTGAGTGACTCTCCACTGATCACTCTCCCATCCCCATACAGCACATGCTACTGGTAAACTAGCACAAAGGCTGACATAATTAGAAGAAGAAGAGAAGAAGAGATTGGATTGATCCCCCGCCCTTCACTACCCAAAGGTGTCTCAGAGGGGCTTACAAACTCCTTTCCCTTCCCCTCCCCACAACAGACACCCTGTGAGGTGGGTGGGGCTGAGAGAGCTCTGACACAAACTGCTCTTTTTCAAGGACAGCTGTGCCAGAGCTTGTGACTGACCCAAGGTCACATCAGCAGGTGCAAGTGGAGGAGTGGGGAATCAGACCCGGTTCTCCCAGAGTAGAGTCCACACACTTAACCACTACACCAAACAATTACTGGGCAGAATTACTTTTGTCAGGATTTCATTTACTGCACTAGCTTTTTATACATATCTTATCTTTTAGATGTTCTAATGCAGCAACTGTGCATTTGGCACCAGACACATGACTTTCAGCTTTTGAGGCCTCATAAACATCTTTGACATGTGTCTCTAGATCTTGCTGCTCAAGTAAGTAATATAGCCATTTTTATCACATTGTTAGTTAAAAAATATTTTAACAAAATATTTGATTATTCATATTCAATATTTTTTTAATCTCTTTTCTCTACAGCCTTCCTCTTCCTGGTCCAATATTCATGTATTGATTATCTTATTGAAATATGTATTTACGTTATGTGTACCTCAATATTGTTTGACCTCTAAAGAAGGCCCCAATAGGACAGAAACACGTCAGGTCATGTGTATTGGCCCTTGTGTTTAGGCTATACTTTTTTACGAGGCTTTCATTGGGCCCTCATGTATGTTTTTAACTGTCTTTCTAATAATTACTTGTATTTTTGTCCATTATAAGTTTTAACTAGGTTTAAATATTGGCCTTTCATTAGACTTCTCACCCTTTTGGTTCTTGATATCAGCAAAGACCTGCAATTAAAAATGACCTTAGAATGTAATCTCAGGCGTTGCTAATCTCAAGAAGTACAATGTGCCAATGTTAGTCTTTTTTATGTACAAATCTTGGAGCTTCACCAAGTAGTACCAAGCAGGACTGTGTCAGCTTTCCACTATCAAAAGCAAAGGTACCCCAATTCCTGGTCTTTACTGTACAGACTGAACGTGCCAGAGCGGTGCCCACCATTATCGTCAAAAATGGGGACAGAATGCCTATTTGGAACGCCCAAATCATGGCATTAAGATACATTCACAGGGCAATCCTGGGAGTGAGTGAACTAAAGCAGACTGGATTAGGACACTTTCAGTCAGACAATTACAAAATGTTTTATGCGGGGAATCTCAAACAGAGAAGGACCGGAGTTGTGCTACTAGTGAGGTGAGATGTAGCACAGGCTATAATGCAAAGACTGGCTGAATAATAGCAATCAGACTTCATGGAAAGCATATCAATAAAACCATCATTCAAGTCCACACCCCAACTACAGATGCTGATGAGGAAGAAAATTGAAAGCTTTTATGCAAGTGTCCAGGAAGAAACTGGTCCCACACCTACACAAGATGTGCTGATAATCAGAGGTGACTGGAATGTAAAAGTAGGAAGCAAAGCAGAATCAAATATAGTTGGAAGAGTTGGGCTGGGACCACAAAATGAAGCAGAAGAGCAACTCACAGAATTCTGGGGAGACAACAATTTGTTCATCGCAAACACACGTTTCAAGCAACCAGACAGACTAAACGTGGAGGGAGACCACTGGACTGCAAATATAGAAATCAAATAGATTACATAATCAGAAGCAGAAGATGGAAGAAGAGATGGATTTATACCCCGCCCTTCATTACCTGAAGGAGTATCAGAGCGGCTTAACAATCTCTCTCTTTTTTTAACTGTCCCGAAGGACAGGATTTTATTAATTTTCCAAACAAACAATACACATACAAGTAGACATACGACATATAACATATATGAGGGTAAATATAAGAGCTTAACTATCGTGAAATTGCCTTCTAAGTCTAGACTTCGCTTCATATTCCGTTATAATATATTAAACACTTCTGTGAAGACTTATACCATACACTGTGTATCTAAAGCTGCATTTTTAAAATTATAAACCAATGTTTACTGTCTTAAAAATATTATCAATAAGTCATTCTGCTTCAGTCCGTTATATCTTTGTTATACCAGTCATAGAATCGTTTCCATGTCTTCTTAAATGTGTAATTTGTAGGTCCTTTCATCAATAGAGTCAATTTATCACTTTCTGCTGTTTCCATCAGTTTATTGATATATTCTTGTTTCTTTGGTACTCCAGTTGATTTCCAGTATTTGGCATATAAAATTCTCGGTGTTGTAGTAAAATAAACCGTCAAGTATCTAATATTTTTATCAAAATCATTTGATAGTATACTCAAAAGCAATACTTCCGGTGTAAATGGTATCACACATCCTAAGATTTTTTGAATTATTTAATGGATCCATATCCAATATTTCTTAGTAATACAACAATGCTACCACATATGGAAATGAATCCTATTTTATTGACATTTCCAACAAATATTAGAACATTTACTATTTGATTTCGCTATTCTATCAGGAGTTATGTAACATCTATAGAACATTTTGTACATATTTTCTTTATATGTAATAGCTTTTGTAATTTTAATATTTGACTTCCATATTTGCTCCCATTGAGCTAGATCAATATCGTGACCAACATTTTGTGCTCTTAACACATTAGTTTTAACAGTCTCGTCATATATTACATCACTGAGTATGAAACTATAAGTTCTTTTTATTAGCTTAGAATCTGAAGACGTCAAGATTTTTTCAAGTTCTGTCAAGTTTTCATAAAATCCCACTGTTCTATCTTTGTAGAATCGAGATTCTATTTGAGATTTATGCCACCATGTTAAGTGATCTGGCACTCTCAATTCATTCTTATCATTTAATATATCTTGATATCTTCTTAGTTCTTTTCCAGCGTATACATTTGGAAGTGTAAAGGCTTCTATAGGAGCCTTAAGTCTTGAATTTTTTGTGTAAAATCTTTTATAGATAGCTTCCCATACTTTTAAAAGTGATGCTCGCAGCCAATGTTGCTTAAAGTATTTCTGTGAAGATGCCTTTGATACCATAAAAAGGCATGCCAATTTAGCAAAAGATCATGACCTATAATATAACAACCAGTTTGGTAGACCGAATCCTCCTCTTTTTTTAGTGTCGCAACGCCTTAAATCTTATTCTTGGTCGTTTTCCTTGCCATATAAATTTTGAAACTACTTGATCCAGTTCTTAAAATTTTTTTGGTTCTGTAGTATAGGAATCGTCTGGAATAAAAATATCCACCTGGGGGGGATATTCATTTTAATAAGCGCAATTCGCCCCATAAAGGAGATCTGTAAACGTTTCCATTTTTCCAAGTCTTGTTTAGTTGTTTTTAAGAGTTCTTTATAATGGTTTCCATATAGAGCGCTACATTTATTGGACATCATAATGCCCAAATATTTAATTTTATCTTTAATTTGAAATCCCGAGATTTCCCTTCCTCTCCCCACAACAGCTCTTGAGAGAACAGCTCCAAGAGAACTTGTGACTGACCTAAGGTCACACCAGTAGCTGCATGTGGCGGAGTGGGGAATCAAACCCTGTTCTCCCAGATTAGAGTCCACGCTCCTAACCACTACACCAAACTGGAGAAGCCCGATCATTAGGTTCTAGACCAAATCAAGCCTGAACTCTTCCTTGAAGCTAAAATGCCTAAAATGAGGCTATCATACTTTGATTGCATTATGAGAAGACAAGAGTTACTGGGAAAGACAATAATGCTAGGAAAAGTTGAAGGCAGTAGGAAAAGAGCATGAGATGGATTGGCTTAATTAAGGAACCCACTGACCTTTGGTTTGCCAACCCCCTGGCCTAGCTAATATCAGGGGAGACCTCCGAGGAATACCAGGGCTGTGATGTGGAGACAGACAATGGCAAGCCACCTCTGAAATATCCCTTGCCTTGCAAACTGTGTGGGGTTGCCATAAGGCAGCTGTGGGTTGATGGCACTTTCCACCACCATCAACCAAAAAAAAAAGTATAGATTCAATCACATAACATAATTCCAAATCAGCCTTTTAGTTTTCAATGCATTCGTTGTTGTTGTTATATTTTAAAACCAGCTTTTTCGAAGAGGAGGAAAAGTACAATTCGAAGTGGGACAAACAAGTCCCTGGATTTCTGAAAACAGCTGCATTCAAGTATTGGACGCTGGCTGGAATGTCCCACTCCGTCGTTTTAGAAAGTCACAGCGGAGGTTTGCTTCTGTTCTGTAATTTACAAATTAAAGCAGGGATTCGAGTCTTAGCCGGGAGGGCACTTGGGGTGTGTGTGGGGGTGTCAGTCCCAGGTGCGCACGCACTCGGTGAATACGCACGATCCACAGTGCTTACGGTACCAGACAGTTGTCCGTCTCCAGTGGGCAGACCCTTGGCTTTTAGCGATCTATGTGCATAAAGGGTTCGACGAGCCCGGTATACACTGCAATGCTCGTATGGATGCCGAACCTGCGAGAGAAATGCCGCAAGTCCAGCAAAAGGTACCCCGGGAGGCCTGTAACCCTTAGGCCAGCCAGGCATCTGGGTGACCTCGGCGAGCCATCAGGGAGGAGAGGCTGGTCCCGCTGGCTCCCTCCCCAGATTAGCCGCGGATTAGTCCCCGGGAGGAGGTTTCTCTCTCCCATCCTCTGGGGGAGGCGAAGCAGGGAGCGGCGGGGCCGGCCTTGGGAGGGCCTGGGCTCTCCTCCGGGTGCAGCCGGGCGAGACTTCCGCCTCGTCCGCGCTCTCCGCCCCCGGAGGACTCGAGCGAGCGGCGGGGCTCCAGGCAGTCGGGCCGCGGCTCGCTCGCTTGCGGGGTGAAGCGGAGCCCTTCCAGTTCCAGCGCCGAGGGGAAACCGGGACCCGCCGAGGCAAGTTGGTCTCCCGAAGCGCTCCTGCGTGCAGCCGGGCTCTTCTCCCGCGCGAAGTGACAGCCCGGGGGGCGCGGAGGAGGCAGGGAGGGCAGGATTCACCCGGGGAGGACGCGTGGGCCGCCGCCGCCGCCGGGACTGGGAAGATGTCCAATCGGGAGTCGTTGGGGGGTCTGCTTCGGTGCGGAAGCTCGTCCCCCGTTTGGGGAAGCGAATCCCAAGGAAGGGAGGTGGGGACTGCGGCTGTCCTGCTCTTGCCCGGCTTTCAGCAGGCGACTTCAGGGGCTGTCGCCTGAGCGTTCGTAGAGCAAAGCAAACTCTCTGCCCCTTTCTTCCCCGCGCTCTCTCAGTTGCCTCCCCCTTCGTGGGGAAAGCGGCGGCTCCCTTGCAGCCCCGTAGCTAGGGAATTCTTTGGGAGGGGGCCTCAGGGGGCCCACCAGCTAATTAAATGAAAGTACAGTGCAGGTGGTAAGTTGGAGCACTTTGGGGGCAGCCCAAGAGGGAGGGGGCCCAGAAGAAACACTAGGGGGCCAGGCTACGGGCCAGCTCCTTTGGAACGGGCCTGCTTGGCACACCGGTGGTGCGACTTGAGGAATCGGATCTCAGGTCAGGTTGCGGAACGAAGCCGGCCCGCGGCCATAGGGCAGCGTTCAACTCATGCAGGGAGATGATAGATCCAGCAGGTGGGCGGCAGCGGTGTTGTTCTGAAGCGACAGAACCTCGTTGGAGTCCAGGGGCACTTCTGAGACCAACAAAGTGCCGTTCTGGGTGCACCCTTGCATGGTCATAAAGGTGGCCCTGGACTCCATGGATCTTCTGTTGCTTCAGAACAACACAGCTGCCGCCCACCTGCTGGATCTGTCTCCTTTCAGGAGTGCAAAGTGCAATTCTGGGTGCCAGCGTGCACACATGGTTGGTCGTAAAGGTGCCCCTGGACTCAAACTGTGTTCCAGTTAAGGGGCAGGGAGAGGTGTGGAAGGAGGAAAAACTCAGCAAGGCCATTCCCGGTGCTGGATTGGTTGAACAGGGCTCCTCCTCTCACACCCCCCTCACTCTGGGCCACAGAGGCCACAAGCCACCCTCTGTTGAATAGATGTCCATAGTCTTCGTTCTCTGGATTCTCCAGCTAGTTTGATGATGACGACGATGATGATGATGTTGAATATGTAGTCAGGTGACAGTCAGCTTATGGCAACTCCACAGTGGGGTTTTCAAGGGAAAAGATGAACAGAGGTGGTTTGCCATTGCTTGCCTCTGAGTAGCAACCCCGGACTTCCTTGGCAGTCTCCCCTCCAACTACTAACCAGGGCCGACCCAGCCTAGTTTCCAAAGCTCTAAGGTTAAGAGGTTGAGCTGCAGACCAGAAGGTCTGTAGTTCAGCAGCTGGAGACCTGAGTGCTGTGTGATGGAGTGGGCTCCCACCTCTGGCCCCAGCTCCTGCCAACCTAGCAGTTTGAAAGCAAGAGACTGCAAGTAGATAAACAGGCACCACTTTGGTGGGAAGGTAACAGCGTTCCATGCACCTTGGTGTTTAGTCGTGCCGGCCACATGACCACGGAGAAGTCTTCAGACAGCGCTGGTTCTTTGGCTTGGAAATGGGGACGTGCAACACCTGTGAGCTCTCATTTTTGTATTGATTTAATATGGATGGGACATACAGGTAAAGGTTTCCCTTGCTCGAAAGCCAGTCGAATCCGACCCTAGGGGGTGGCACTAGGGTTTAATCATTATGACCGCTCAGGAGTTTTGTGCGTGTGTGTGTGTGTGTGTGTGTGTGTGTATAGAGTGGTATTATAACTGGGAAAGGTCAACCCTCTCAGATGAGATGATGCCACTGCTGTCAATGTACCCCAAAACCACCCTGACCTGGATAGTCCAGGTTAGCCCGATCTCATCAGATTTGGATGGGAGACCTCCAAGGAATACCAGGGTCCTGACGCAGAGGCAGGCTATGGCAAACCACCTCTGAAATGACATTTGGGCTGCCAGACATTCTTAGGATCTCCTTAATGCGATACCATCCATCCTCCAAAAAGCCATTGTCTCCAGTGGAACTGATCACTGTCGTTTCTGTAAGAGATCAGTGGTAGCCCTGGGAGAGCTGCAGTCTCACTGTTTGTCTAAGACTGTATTAAAGCATCTCTGTCTTGAAAGCAAAGCAGGGTCCGTTCTGGCTAGTGTTTGGGATTTTAGTGCAACATCTTTCTTTTATTTTTCTCCAAATGTTTATTAATCCTCCTCTGATTATATGCTTAGAAAAGGTTGAATGGATGTTATCCTGATCATACCATGTATAGGCATGCCAGCCCATACTTAGATCATGTCCTTCTAATTGTAACATTCTAGTATCTTCCAGGAGTACCTGGCTAGTGTTTGGATGGGAGACCTCCAAGGAATACCAGGGTCGTGATGTGGAGGCAAACCACCTCTGAACGTCTCTTGCCTTGAAAACCCCCAAGGGGGTCACCAGAAGTCTTATTTGTTTATTTGAATTTTCAGGCTGCCCTTCCCTGCGAGCAGGGCTCATGGTGGCTTGCAATAGAAAGGAACATGCAATGAATAAAAGTTAAAAACCCACAGTAAAATATACAATGCATATCAGCAACATTCAATTCATTCCAAGATGGCGAGAAGATTTCAGATTCCGCCAACCTCCTAGGGGCAACTTATGGAGAATTGAGGGTATGAAAGGGCCAGACTACACGCTGTGCCGTCACTGTCCTCAGCCGAGTGCCTGGCGGAACACCTCTGCCTTACATGCCCTGTGGAAAGGGAACCAATCCCGCAGGGCACGGATGTTCTCCAGCAGAGAGTCCAGCCAGGGCTGAAAGAGCCCTGGCTCTGGTTGAGGACAGCCGGATCTCTCTCAGGCCAGGGACCGCCACCAGGAGGGTCCTTCCTTCCTGAGCGTAACGCTCTTCTTGGGCATACTTGGTGCTCTTCTTGGGCCTGGGGCTTGACGCCACTTTCCACGACCGTGAAGACCTGCCAGTCTTTGAATCCCTCTTGGTATGAGCTTGACATAATCAGGGAGCTGAAAGACTAGAATGGCCACGAGGTCTGACCCCTGCCTCTTCCGGCGCATAGCCCCTCGCCTTAATTATTTCCCTGTGTGCTTGGAGTCATTCCGTGGTAATTCTCTTTCTTTGTGCTTTCCCTCCTTTCAGGTTTCAAGGGAAGCTTTCCTGGCTTAAGAATGGCGAGTATCAGTGCCACGCCAAAGTCTTCCCTTGCTGATGAGCCAGTGAAAATCTGTGTGACCGGCCTGGAGCCCTCCCAGCTAGTGACCATCCGGGCTTCACTGACCGATGAAAAGGGGGTGCTCTTCCAAGCCAGGGCTTTCTACTGGTCGGACAAGAAAGGCCAGGTGGATCTCACGAGAGACGCGGCCAGCGGAGGGGATTATTCTGGCGTGCAGCCGATGGGCCTCTTCTTGTTCATGAAGCCGGAGAAGCCCTTTTCGAGGCTGAAGAAACGAGATGTGATGAACAGCCCCTATGAGGTCCGCCTGGACGTGTTCGATTCGTTGCAGCTGGTTTCCCCGTCTCAGGAGCCGCCCGTGGCCAGCCAAAGTGTGGAGAGGTGGTACACAGCCCCGGGGGTGCAAAGGATCCCGGTCAGGCACGGCAGAGTCCGGGGGGCTCTCTTTCTCCCCGCAGGTGACCCCTCTTCCCTTCTTAGTAGTGAGGGGGCAAGAATGAACAACGCCTTGATCTGGACGGCCCACCAAGAAGCCCAACCTCGCCAGATCTGGGCAGCTAAGCGCTGGCCCCAGTGAGCACTTGGACGGGGGACCACCAAGGAAGCCAGGGGGCGCCGTGCAGAGGCGGGTGGCGGCAAACCACCCCTGCACGTGACTTGCCTAGCAAACCCTGTGGGGTCACCGTAAGTCAGCGGCAGCTTGATGGCCCTTGACACGTCCAAAGGAGAGAATTGAAAGAAACACCCACCATGTTCTCCATCATCATAGAAGTGTAGGGGGAAGTCACAGCAAGCTCGAGAACGTCATGCCACAGTGCATAGTTAACTGAAGGGATTCGCCACCCTCCGCTCTGGGGATGGCACTAGCATCCATGGCTTTGAAAGAAGGAGGAATCATGGAGGCTAGGGTTCTCCACAGCCATTGGCCAGGATACCGTAGTAGAACGTCTGTCTCCAGTGGCACTCTGTCAGAATACCATCTGGCGAGTAAACAGGGGGCGACGGCTGCCCACGTGCTCTTGTCAGCGATACGTGTAGCGTTAGCATTCCCGGGATCCATGCCCTGGGTGCTGAGGTGTTCACGCTCGCGTGGGAATGGATTACTGTCTCACATGCCACTAAAACAGCCCGAGATAGTCCTTTGGTCTGTTCAGAGTCACTGTAATTTTTTTAAACAAATCATTCTGGCATGATTTATGCTGCAACTAGCTTTTGCCGGTAGCATCTGGGAAGAGCTTCCATTTAAGAAGATAGCGTAGTGGACGCAAATGACCAGGCTTGAGAGTCTCTCTCCTCCCCAACCGATGAGGCTGTTGGCAATTTGGGGATGCGCTAGTCACTAGCACTCTCACGGGCTGAGGATGGGGTGCAGACGCTACCTCAAATTCTGGCCCCATGCTAGCCCACGCTCCTTCGTTTTCCTCTCCCAGTTTTGGTGCAACTTCTGTAGAGGCCGGCTTGTTACACCATCTGGTGCCCTCTTTCCACTAATCGAGCAAGCAGGTTCTCTCTTGAGCAATGACTTGCCAGCTTGCCAGCTTTTCTCTTGCGCAACACTGCTAAGGGAGTGCAAAGGAAAGGCCACCTGCTGCTGTGATAACAGGCCTCTGGGCTGCAAGGCAGGGGGACATTTAAACCTAACTGCAAAGATTCCCAGTAAGACAAAAAAAGGCAGCTGGACTGAGATTGTAGAACAGGGGGAAGAAAAGGTGCTGGTGGTGCGGAAACCAAAATGCAAGCCAACCTCTCTGGTACAACCTCCCTCCCTCCCGGATAGGCTTATATTGCAGGGAGGTTGTACACAGAGGAACATTAATGGTATGCTCCCCCCACCTGTGGTCTAAAGTGGTCTAGCCGGGGTTGCCAACTTCCAGGTGGGGCCTGGAGATCTTCTGGGATTGCAACTGATCTCCAGGCTACAAAGAGGGCTTTTATTTAAAACCTGTATTCCACTTCTCCTGGAGAAAATGGCTGCTTTGGAAGGTGGTGTGTGTGGCACTGTAACCCTACTGAGATCTCTAAGGCCCACCCTCCCAGGCTCCACCCTCAAACCCCCAGGTATTTCCGAATCCAGTGTTGGCAACTCTCTGTTCAGCCCCTTTTGCCACCCTGAAATCCCACCAGTCCTGTGAGAATCCCAATCTGACAAATGCATCTAGCAATCGCTCAATCGGTCATCGCTCCTTATTTCTATAACTTTCTCCTTCGCTCCCTGATCACATCCTCTCCTTGTTGTCCTTACTGTGTTCACAGGAAACGGTCCCTTTCCTGGTGTAATTGACCTTTTTGGCGGCGTCGGTGGGCTGGTTGAATTTCGGGCCAGTCTTCTTGCCAGCCGGGGGTTTACAACTTTGGCTCTGGCCTATTTTGCTTACGAAGATCTGCCCAGTTTTCTGGGCCCAATGGATTTGGAATATTTTGAGGAGGCTGCTGAGTTTCTCCTGAAGCATCCCAAGGTACCTTCTGCCTACAAATAACTACATCAAGGCATAGTTAAATTCTCTGTGGGTGATAAGGTGTGCCTTCTACAGCTGTTTCCTGTCTGAGTTTGTTGAAGAAGTTACAGCTGTTCAATAACAGCACTACTGTAAGAGCGATGAACTCTAATTTGGAGAATCGGGTTTAATTCCACACTCGTCCACATGAAGCCAGCTGGGTGACCTTGGGTCTGTCACAGCTTTTTCAGAGCTCTCTCAGCCCCCAAAATAAGTTTAGCTCGCCACCTAGTGGTGCGTGATGCTAATGAGCAAGAACTTAAGGCTGCCAGGCAATCTTTGGCAGCTCTTTTGTGGCTGGCCCCACCTCCTGCAGCAGCCATTTTGTGGCTGCACTCATCACACTGAGCTAGCGTTCCAAAGGTGTCTGTAGACTCAAAAAGCTCGGGAACCCTGGTCTAGTCTGATTCAACCAGGTAGAAAGAGCCGAGGCTGCAGGCCATCCTGAGCAGCTCTATTTCAGAGTGCAGGTAGGGGGGGGAATGAGAACTCCCTGCACCTGACAAGGGAATACATTGCTTCCTGGGTGCCACCAAGTTGCATCTCCTTCTTGCATCTCAGCAGTGAAGTTTGGTGATACTGTGCATAACGTAGCTCAGAGGTTGGACAGCAGGGATTTCCACATAAACACCTCTTGGCTGCTCAAGCTTTCCATGAACACAATTTACACATTACGACATACACAAGTTGCAACTGGAATCCCTGCCCTGTATACAGTCAGATGCAAGGTGCAGGTTCTCCTTAATTCCCATGCACATGGTGCCTACCTCAAGTTGGGGCTGTGTTGTGCCTGGAGGCTACCCAGGGGACCGTTTCAGGTTGGACAAAGGGCATGGGGGCGGACGCCTCTTTTCCATGTGCAGCATGGTCCCTGATTTGTGTCAGCAGCATACCCACAGGAATTGATAAGAACCTGTAACTCATGGAGATAGATCCAGGTGGGTAGCCCTGTTGGTCTGAAGTAGCAGAACCACGTTTGAGTCCAGTGGCACCTTTAAGACCGACCCAAATTTTATTCGAGGTATTCCACTTCCTTTGCATATTTAAACTCTGCCAACACCTCAGTGTAACTCATGGGTAACTGTTTCATAGGTTGGGGACCCCAGACCCAAACTATGTACTCAGTAATGTCTGAATCAGCCTGACTTAAGTGGAGAGGAAATTCAAATATGCATTCTGCTTTTACTGTGTTCTGAAGTGGTACATTCAAGAAAGAACTGGGCGGTATTTCGCATGACTTCTGCTTCATGGTCCTGTTTATATTTTTAAAAGCCAATCAGGATCCTTCCTGGGAAAAGCCCCACCTGACTCCACCCACTTTCTAAATGGACTTGGCAGGTGCCATGGCACTCGTGGGCACTGCGATTGGGGGACCCACGGTCTACACCCTATTTAAATGGCAGAAGTACTTGCAGACATATGCATCACTGAGATAGCTATGATCTACTTGTCCAGGCTGCCACTGGTACCATCATCTTGAGAACCTAACTACTGAGAATCAATGGTTGCGGTCACACACACTAAATAATCCACTTTCAACCCACTGTCAGTGCACTTTCCAACCGGATTTTGCCAGTTCACACAGTAAAAATCCAGTTGGAAAGTGTACTGAAAGTGGATTGAAAGTGGGTTATCTAGTGTGTGTGACCGCAGCCAATGATTCATCTCTCCTCACTCCACTGAGCACCCGAAGGGTGTTGTGTCTTGACTCTGTCTAATGATTCTGATGTGTTTTTAAGGTTCGTGGGCCAAGCCTCGGTATAGTGGCAATAAGCAAAGGGGCAGAGATTGCATTGGCCATGGCGACCTACTTGCCACAGATTGGCGCGGCGGTTTGCATCAACGGGACCAACGCCGTCCACGGAAATCCTCTCTCTTACCGAGACCTCTGCATCCCGCCGATCCCATACAAAAGAGAATGTATGCTAATAACCGATCATGGCGTTGTCGATTTCTCTAACCTTTATGAAGACCCAGGAGCAAAGCTGCATCAAGAGAGTGTCTTACCCGTGGAGAAAGCCCAAGGAAAGATCCTCCTCATTGCAGGAGAAAGTGACGGGAACTGCAAAAGCAAGGCTTTTGCCACAGCAATCATGGAGAGGATGAAGAAGCTGGGGAAAACCCACTGTGCCCTTCTTTCCTACCCAAAGGCTGGGCATCTGATCGAACCCCCAGGCTCGCCATTCTGTTACGATTCCTGGTTACCTGCTGTCTCCCGCCCTGTTTTGTGGGGAGGGGAGGCCCAAGCCCACGCTGCAGCACAAGTCCATTCTTGGAGTGAGATCCAGAAATTTCTCCACCTCCACATTGGTCCAGCCAAATCCAGTAGCCTTTGAAACCTGCACCTTGTGACCTGAGGCAGACCCTTCATCAATGTGACACTAAACCGATGATTTACCAATGTATACGTTGAGAGCAGACGTCTGAGGTGCAGAGATGGTTGAGCATCGCAAAGGAATGGAAGATTAGCAGTCAATGCAATTTCCATGCAGACCTCTAAATATCAGGTGTGAGGGAGGGGGCTGAGCAACAGGTGCTGGGGGGTCATCTGCATGCCCTGCTTCAGGGGGCCAAACTAGACATTGCAAGCAGGTCGTCACTTTCTAAAAAAAATCTGAAACCAACTTTGGGGAGGGTGATCCAGAACGGAAAATCATTGAGTGGGGGAAGGATAAAGCCGTTCCCCGAATCTTGGTGAGACCGTGAGCACTTTTTGGATTTCTTAAGGAGGCACGGTGGGCCTGCCACCAAACGACCACCATCGCGGCTTTCACAGATGGTTGTCATTGGAAGTTGGGGCCCAGTCACAAAGTGTTGGGAAGCTGCAAGCCAAGCTTTTCCCCTACAGTTTCTGAATGGCCGTTCCTTTGCAGACACCTAAGTGATACTTCCTGGATTCTTTCAAAGCATCAGGGAGGTGGAGGGAGGCTAGGAGTGGCTTTTTGTTGGGGGGGGGGGAGAGATGCTTTGCTGAGGAAAGAAGTAAACACCAAGAAACTCATTGGTGGGCATGTTGGCACTCATGAGCACCATGTTGGAGTTCACTGGGATAAAGTGTACCATTCTGCCTCCCCCCCCCCATTGTTCCTTGTTACCTTTTCAAAAAGGCAGCCTGGATCACATGCACATAGAATGCCAAATGTGACTGTCTGCTTTCAAAGATCTGGATGGTGGCAGCCAGAGGCAGAATAGTTAATCAGATGGACGTTTGGTCTGATGTAGCTTGGCCATTTTTATGGTTTTTAATCTCTCCTACATGTCAAAATTATGTAATTCCATATCATTATGTAATTATAGTAGTTGGTGTTGAAATACTACGTGAAGACGGAGGTTTGCAAATTGCTGCTGTAGCACCTTATTTTCGGACATCCCTCTGTTGCGCCCACTGATTTGGCTTTGCAGCCAGCGTGGTGTGGCGGCAAAGAGTGGCTGATCTGGAGAACCGGGTCTGATTCCCCACTCCTCCACCTGAAGCCTGCTGGGTGACCTTGGGCCAGCCACAGTTCTCTCGGAGCTCTCTCAGCCCCACATCCCTCACAAGGTGTCTGTTGTAGGGAGAGGAAGGGAAGGTGATTGTAAGCTGCTGTCAGCTAAAACTGGATTTGCCTAAAAACATGAGGAAACTGCATTCTGTGTTTCTTCAGGAGGCTGAAATGAAACACAGAATGCAGTTCCCTCAAGTTTTTAGGCAAATCCAGTTCCACCGCAACATCATGGATCACCCTTTTCACTGGAAAAGGACCAATGTATTTCCAGCCCAACATCCAACTAGGGTGCAGCATCTGAATGTTTTTAGGGGACACATAGACCAAGTCTCCAGGCTGTTTACACCAATTGAGGGACACCTGGCTTTTCTTTTTTTTTGGAAAAAGAAGTGCCAGAACTCCCAAGAGGGAAATGAAGTTTTCAATCTGCATACTGAAAACTCATGAACCTTTAAACATTTTTAAAAGAATTTTGTCAAAGAGATTCCGGAACTCCATTCCAGCACATTCCCCCAGGAAGAAAGCCCTGGATTTCACACAGCTTTTTAGAGTGAGAATGGGAGAATCCACGTGTATGGAGGAAATCGATAAAATTGAAAGAAAATGCCTTCTGTGTCCATAATTCAAGTCTTCCTCCTTTGTTTCCAACATTGCTAGGGCTAAAAAGTGCCAGATGCAGAACAGACACGTATATAATGGTGCTGTGAAAGAGTGAAGCCACATACGAGTGCTAAGAGTCCCCGATTAATGTGAATGTCCCAAAAGAGAGATGTATTTCCCTAGTTGTAGAATATACACAAATGAGTGATGACAGTCACATTTAGGGGAGATTGTGAAAATTCACACAAAAATATGACTGGGATTGTCAACAGCCTTTTGGGCTACTTGCGGGAATCAAATCAGAATGACTTCATGTTTGTTCTTTGCTCACCCTAAGAAGCTCTTTAAGGAAGGGTCGAATAAAATGGATAAATAAAACACAATGTTTCTGATTTTCTGTCATTCTGATTATCTTGGGTGTGTTTTTTAATTGGCATGTATTCAAATAAATGGTATGGTACAGAAACAGCTCATTGCAATCAGAGGGAATGAAAGCAGCTTAAAATGGCATGTGCCGCAATAGCCAGATAGTGTTCAGAACCCTTGTTAAAAGGCCAGGTGGGAGAAAACTTCACACGGGGGTCTGGGTGCTACTGTGCATCCCAAGCTGGGGTTTCTTTTCTATAAGAGCTACAGTGCTGTGCGCTTAACACCACCCTGTGTATAACCTCGTTGCAGGGATTGCTCCAAGAATCTTAATGTGGCATGTTGCCTTCTTGGTCTGGTGGGAATAGTGGTCCATGGTGGGGGGTGTCTGTAGTTCAGTGCAAAGACCTCTGCCTGAGGCATGGTAGAGTTGCTGCTACTCAGGATTGAGGGCACTGGACAAGGCGGAGCAATGGTCTGACTCCACTTCATATTTCTGAGCGGAATCAATGAGCCTGAAAATATATACTATTG